AAGCGCCTTAGCAGCTAAACTCCGGATCTCGGCGGATGACGGTAGAAAAGACATTGAAAGTCCAAAACGTTTTGTGGATGGAGCTTCATCTCAGCCACAATTGTGCGCTTCGCGACTTGCAACGAACTGAATTTCAACTTCGGCCGTTGGGAATAAATCCAAAGAAATGGCAAAGCAAAATCCACAGGATAAACAAAAACACAGATGGGACTTAGTTGCATCCATGATGGATGATTGTCGTCATTGACACTCCAGATTGTCATATGCTTAGCAAGGGTGTTAACAGCAAAGGTCACATCCGGTCGGGCAGTCCGACATAACCACATCAGTTTCATGACAAGCCGGGCAGCAACTGGAAGCAACTGTCCTTTGATGGCACCATCGTCAGGCAGCAATGATCCTTCCTCTAAATGAGGTGTTGGTGCAACTTTGATTCATTTCCCACTCAACTCTTGATAAGAGAAAGGCACTGGCGTGTGAAATCACTTGAACCCAAAACAAGCTCGCCGTTCAGAACTCGGTGATCACGGCCAAGCACATGACCAAACTCCGAAAAGGGGTCAGGATTAATATGCTGCTGCAGTTCCTTCCAAAAGGATGGATGAGAATTCTTGCTGCCACCTAACATCAATCATCTACGTACACTGACATCAGCATGCGACCTGCTTCAAACCAGCAAACTGAAGGCATGTTCTCAAACTCCTTGCCGTTCATCTTGTTTTTCAAAACGTCGGCAAGATACAATGTCCAATGAGCACTGGACTCTGGATGTCCATAAAGTGCCTTGTGCAGTGGTGCACATGGTTGAACAATGTGTCTTTTGTTCGCAGGAACAAGTTCCGGTGGCAATAAAACAAAGGTCGGATGCTTTGATTTCAATAAGCACTGGATATACGCTCGAATGCAATCGGAAGTCGTGCAAGTGTTGTCACCTATCATGGAGTAAGCCATCACAATGTTCAATCCAGCACTTGAACTTGGAGCACTGGCCTGCAACTCTTGGAAGGTGGGGGCAATACCGTCTTGGTCCTTCACTGCGTCTCCCCGAAAAACCACTCCAGCTTTAATTTTCCGGTCATTGGGATGTTTCTCACAGACCCTTATTGAAACGACCACCATAAGAGAGCCAAAATGCACAGTGGAGCCAGAATACTTTTTCAAGACATCAGCTTTTGAAATGATTTCAATTTCATACTCCAGCCATGTACCACCTTCCACCATGTACCACCTTCCAACAAGCCATTCTTCTCAGAGTCTATGGCGGGGTGGGCTTCTGGTCGTCCCTTCCATTCATGGCGATCCAAGAGGCAGTGCACAGTGGTGACTTCCTTGCAACGTACCTCGTACATGACAACGTCACTGGGCATGCATGGATTACCAAGCACATGGAACGATGTGAGTATGACAAACGCCCCCATCACAAGAGCTGCCGATGGGCCTGGAACTCAGCTCGCAATCCACTGCAAGCCCTGCGAGCTCTTCCGCAAGACGAAAGCATTGACGCTACCATTGCGCCAGCAGAGCCTGTTGGGACTAACTTCTTCGACACTTTGAAGCCGCTTCAAAAATTCAACGCCTCTTGTTGGAATGGAATTTTGTCGTCGCACAGCGCATGCTACAGCCCAGCTGCGCCGCCTTCGGACGGCCAACTCATGTGGACCGGACCATTCTCAAGGACCACGCGAAAATTGATCTGGCAACTCCGAGGCAGCCACTTCCAAAACCAAATCACGCCCATTCCCGCTGATGAAGGGTAGCATGATATTGAGCAGGATGGAAATGAGGCTGACGGTGAAGAGTTTGTGGGTAGCGCCTCTTCGGATGCTTTGAAGTAGGTAACATTCAGAACAAATGCAACAAATTGCAGCAGGCTTGCGGCCTCCAAGATGGGTTCCCATGCCTTCCAGATGGCGCAGCCTTCACCTGGCCGAACTGTAGCATGCCTGCGTGGAAACAACGAGGACCATAGAGATGGTTGAATTTATCAAGCTCGGAAGGCCCGATGCTTGTGAGCGTGAGCTGGCCCATCTTCCAAAAAAAATCATCGCCCTTGCAGCAGGCCCAGCGAACTCCACAGTCAATGCGATGTAATCTTTGTGCAGTTCATGTTGATTTGTTTGTGTTTGTACAATTATTGTTTTCCTGTCTTGCGCAGTTAAGCGTTGCAAGTAAAGTTTGAAAACTTTTTGTGACATTCGCACAGGCTGAGGCTGGTTGAACTTTTAAGCTTGTCGTGTGCCTTGAGTTCTGCTGGATAGCTACCTTATGAATTGCCAATGGGATGTCGCTCATTCGGCATTTGAACATAATTGTGTCTCTGCATGGTTTGAAAGCCGCCTACATGCCGCAGGGCAGCATGAGGTTCGGAGGTGTAGTTGGATGTCAGAAACAACACGCAGAGGCATAAGCATGCTGCACCCCAAGGACATCCCGTAAGTTCATGAGGCATGGACACTTTTCACCACCTGTCCGATAGTGGCGCGGCCTTTGAAAAGCAGCCCAGCTTACATGGGGCTGGGCAATGAATGGGTGACAGCCCTGTCGATTGAGGTTTGGCATCGTTAACCATGGACGGCCTGATGTCAGGACGTTGTTGCAAGGGATGTTGCGATCACGAAGACGTCACGAAGAACCTGATCTTCGAAGCACAGACGTCGATGGTTGCCTTCTTTCAGCTGCAGGCGGACCTAACGGTGGACCCAAGTGCCAGGCGTACGCGAACGGCGGAAAAGCTTCAAGCACCTCCTCTTCCATCATTTTTGGCTTCACTCCCGAAGCTCGCATCAGCGAAAAAGAGTAAACATCTGCAGCCTTGCTGTCTGGGATGGTTTTCCCAAAATCATGGCGATGTCCGGGACGGAGCGTGGGGGCCCAACTCGTTTATGAGCTTCCTTACTGCTCTCCTGAACGGCTGGCCCCCTAGCAAGCATCGTTTTGAAGGAAGCTGCAACCTGGTCTGTAAGCTTCCCCTATGGATGCAGATCAGTTTTCCTCTTCCGGACCTTGGCAACTCCCTTTCTCTGATGTTGAGGGAGAAGCAATATTGGTCTCAGAATGGCTTCAACAACATGTCGCCACAAAAGCTGTGGGGTGTGATGGCCCAACGTGGACCTGCACCGATCATCGATCCCATACCGGGCACACCAAATCGATCCCATACCGGGCACACCAAAATTTTGTGGCTGGGATGCGCGGGCAGCCTTTCACCCTGTTACCTCTCTTTTCGTGAAGGCGCCGGCCCGAAATGTTCGCCAAGGTCGTCAAGGATGCCACGCGGTGCAATCCCCAGGGCTTATGGTCTAAGCCGCAGATGGGAGCCCAGGCAATGATCGAAATCTTGTGAATGCAAGTCCTTGCCTCCACAAACCCAAAGGCCCCCTGTCTCACCGTCAGCTGCAGCCTGGAAAGATTGGCCGCTCATGGCACCCCACCACCCGCTGGACAAAAAGAACCAACGCGTTCATCAAGCCGCTCTTGTGACAAGGACACCTGTATAGGCCAGGGTCTGTCAACAGAGGACCCAGAACAGCACCACATTAACGCCCGCCCCAAAGATGAAACTGAGGACATGCATAATACTTGCCCGCAAACTTCCTCCAGTTTTTTTTTGCCCCGGTGTCATCCAAATATCCAAGACACCTGTCAGGGGCCGCCCGGTGCATGCCGCACGCATCACGGACGCGCACTGTGCAATGATTTGTTCCAGCATGTAGCTGCCCCACTTGGGATGCAAAGCCACTTCTTTCTAAGATGGCCAACCAGCGTGCAAGAGCTTTGGTCCTGCACCTCGGCAGCATTTCTTTCCGTCACGTAGGGCTTGTCGAGGTTTGGCGAAGGTGGGTGCCCCCATCACACGTCGAAGACACCCCCACTTCCAGCGCGCAAGTGCCCAGAAGTTGTTCTTGGCCGGGCAGCGCCCTGCAGATTGCCAAAGATCTCGGCATAGGCTCCCTCTATTCCCGCGGGGGTTTGGGTAAAGAAGCAAGGAGAGGAAGGCTTTGCTCGAACACCGCCCGCTGGAACAACTGCGTCGTCATATGAGTTTCCTGATGCCTCGACCAACTTATACTCCACATAGCTTAGTTCCATCGCTTTCTTATTAAGCACCAAAATCATATAGGATGCCTAAAAGGGGATGCTCCATCTTCCTGGGGGCTCATCACCCATGGTTTGTCACCGCAAATCTGCAGCATCACCTATGTTTCTCCTAACCCGCTGGTCAAGCCCGTTGAGCCCAGGAATGGGCTCCAACACAGAATCCTTGGCAGAAGCAGGCAGATGAGCACAGGATCTGATGAAGCGACGGGCGCAGAGCTCTCAACAGCAACCATCTGAGTTGCAGGACGGCGGCTATCACCAGTCCAGCACTTCGCCCGCTCCCTTCCAAACACTACACAGGCAACGTTTGCTCGCCGAGCTCCAACGTGTGGCATGGAAACAATTATAAGGGGAAGACTGGCTTGTAAATAAAATTGCGGATGGCAAGCGTGTGAAACGCACAAAAAGGGGATCATGTTTGTTACAGGGGCATGGCTGTGCCGAGCAATGCGGCCAAAAGCATTCTACCATTCCAAAATTCCAAACGATGCTACATGACAGAGAAGTAGCTGAAGCTACCTTTCATGACCAGATTCCTTCGGGCAGCATTCCAGGGTGTTTCCATTTTGCTGAACATAGCAAGTGGTGACTGTGCCGCGCGAAGGGAAACCGCACTACTGGGTATTCCGGGTACATCCACATTTTGCCGTTTAACTGGTGGATTTGTATCCCACTGCATTGTCAAAGCACTGGGAAGACGACAGGAAGATGATGCGCCCTGTTCGTTTAAGTCAAGCTGCGAAACGGCATGCTTGCCCATACCCGGTACTTGGCAACTCCTTGCAAGAAAGGATCCTGCACAACAAAAGTGACAACTGACAACCCTAAATCGTTGCATCAGCAGAAACTGCCATGAGCTTCTGACAAATTCTTATCTTCTGTCACGAAAGGCCTGTAATGTCTCATCTTGCTACCTTCAAGCTTGCTCCAGCGCGAAACCCGAGCGAAAATCCCCTGTGAACAGAAGTTGGAAATTGGACATGGTCCTCTGACGCGGTCAGTTTCAGTGTCACACGTCCCGCTCCAGCCATGCCAACAAACCTGAACCAACGATTCAGACACGCAACGGGTGCCCATACAAAAGCGACTTGCCCACTGCTGTGAGACATTGCTCGCAAATTCAATTCAAAACCGCGCCATCTACAACAATGATGGTCTCTTTGGAACGCGATGAGGACCAATATCCAAAAAACATGCAGCCAGGTGGCAGCACCAGGATTCCAATGAAATTCCTCAGATTCAGCGGGAGAAAAACAAAGGGACCCGCGAAATCTAAATTGGGCGGCGTGACATCTTGCGCCGGGCTGCGTGAAGTCCATCAGCTCAGGCGACCATCTTGACTCACCCAGAGCTGAACCCAGCAATGAACCTATCACAAAGCAAAGGGCCGCCAGCGTTCCTGTACAGCACCTTGGTGCAAGAACTTGTCGACAACTGAGACAAGGCTGAAAAGTCTCTTCTGCAAACCTGGATGCTGATGCTATGGGTCACGCGCGCATGAATGTTTGAATGAAGCATGCATCAACCCCACAAATTGGCAAGGCCCACGCGAAATTGCACATATCCTGACAAAGGTCTGGCTGCAAGCGTCTCCACAGGCAAAAGCTGGCAGGTACAAACCCCAATTGCCTATGCAAAGCACAAGTCCTGCGCCACAACTGGCCACTCTGCCCCCCGTCATGAAGTGTTGGCCTGCTAGCCTGGCAAGGAAGTCCGGAAACCGAAGCGCTGCAGATCCAAAAAAACAGTGAAACTCAAATTCAAAATGAATTAGATTAACTTTTCCCGAGAGCTCCCGCGAATGGTTTTCCCAAGAACTGCTGCCAAAGTCAACTTTACTTCATCTACACAACATCTCCTACTTGCTTTCCATCACGTACATCATCTACATCAACTTCATCTGCATCACATATGCCGTTTATATCTCCTACATCTCTCCTGTATCCCTTACATCACTTACATCATCTACATCAACTTCATCTACATCACATACGCCATCTACATCATCTACAGCAACTTCATGTGCATCACATACACCATCTGCATCACTAACACAAGCTACAGGTGCTCATCGTGTACATGTGCCCTGCAAAACTCTTACAATGTCATTTACAGCGCGCCGGGTTCTTACACAGGAGTTGTAACACAGGAATTGCTACACAGGAGTTGTTATACAGGAGTTGTTACAAAGGAGTTGTTACACAGGAGTGCACAGGTGCATCTGAACGCCTACAAAACTCCCACAGGTACTTCTCAAGCGCTTCTAAATTTCTCTTTTTTGGCGGAAGGGGCAGCCAGGCTTCGTCCACCGAAACGTGACTCTCTGTGGAGATCGTCGGACTCTCGGACGCATAAACGTGTGGTGAAATGCCTTTTTTTTTGGTGCTGGAGCAACCCTCTGCGGAGATCGTGGAATTTCAAACTCGCAATTTCACCTCAGTTTTTGGCATGCAGCCATTATTTCCTGCGAACAGGTTGCAACTAAAATTTCACAACTGCGTTGTTACACCAATTTTGGCCATGTACGCATGACGCGGCAAAATCGCAATTTTGAATCAGTTTTGCAGTTCAACTTTCAGGCGGTGCTAAAGGGTTGCATCTGACGTTTTAAAATCGCAACTTTAAACCACTTGCTGGCGTTCGACCTTCATGTCGCGCGAAAGGGTTGCAGCTGACGTTTCAAAATTGCAATCTCACACCGGTTTTAAAACATGCGCGTTTGATGTTGTAAAGTCGCGATCTTACACCAGGTTTTGCCGTTTGACCTTCATTTCGTGCGAAGAGGTTGCATTTGAAGTTTTGAAATTGCAAGTTTACACCAGATTCAGGCCATCGACCTTCATGTCGCGCGAAATGGCGATGCCGTGGACTACAAACGTCGACTTTCGCCACGCGTTTGCGTGTCCGACGCGCGCGATCTCCGCAGAGGGCTGCGTCAGACGCAGCCTTTGCACGCGAAATCATGGTCCAACTGCAAAAGCTGAGGTAAAATTGCGATTTTGAAATGTCAGATGGACCTTTCTGACAATATGGTGGTTGAACGCAAAAACCTTGTGTAAAATTGCGACTCGTCAGAAGCAGCCCCTTCGCACGAAACGATGGTCGACTGTCAAAAACTGAGGTAAAATTGCGATGTCAGATGCGCCCTTTCGCGCGACATGATGGCCCAACAGCAGAAACTGAGGTTAAGTTCCAAGTTTGCAGCGTCACACAGCTGCTTTGTGGCAAGGCTTGTCTGTGTAAAAGCCTCTCTGTGTAAAAGCTTCCTTATGTGTGAAAGCATGTGTCCTGTCTTGCAGTCAGGATGCGACATGCCTTGCTTCTTGACACTGTATTCAAACGTCACAAATCGCGAGTCGCTCTTCTCATCCCAGTCATCTGAATAGACGGCGCAGGGGTTTACAGAAACATATATCATGGAATCATTTCATTATCATTTACTTGGCATTCATTAGTCATCATGCATCAACAACATCATTCATCATTTTTCATGTTTCATCATCATTCATCATCCGTCATCTTCATATCTTCTTTTCCATCCTCTTTTGATCTACTCCCTCCTGCCCTTCTTTCAGTTGAAAAGGATCGAAAACGATGCAGCCGCAAAAAGTGCAAATAAATTGCTGATTACGCAACGACCGGACCATGCTGGGAAGACTGGGGAAATTTCCGATATGTCGCCAAGCTCCAGGTCTGCTGACGCTCGGTCTTCTGCGGCTGGCTGCCTGCACGGAAGGCAAGGCAAGTGAAAACGATGCTTCAGGAGGAAATTTATTTTTGAAAATACACGAGACGTCTGCGGACCTTGTATCATCTGCATCTGCCGGCCGCGCGACCTCAGCATTGCAGGCACTGTGGCTTTTTATTTGTCTGCGCCTCCTTCTGCACAGCCTCCATGAACAGAATTGGACAGGCTTCGGCCTGTTTTGTTCTGCCTTTCAAGCTATCAAGTGGCAAGAGGAAGCGCTGCTCAGCTTTAGTCCCTGTAGCCTTTAGTGGGGAAGGTCGCCTATTGACTGCTTAGTATATGTGCGATGCGTCTTTCCGCGCTAAGGCATCTGCAGCCATCTTCCCACACAAGCGCGGGTGTGACACTTCTTTGGTGTTCCATATTGCGGCCAAAATGACACGTTCAGTTGCTGACTCAACGTATGCAAACCACCAAGCACCCCAACACCACCACACCCTGTGATTCAAACCGGTTCAATGCGTGCAATGGCAAAAACAAATTCCGAAAATGTCCTGCGTAGAGCTGCTGGGCCATTTCCTTGTCATCTCACTAGAAAGCTGGAGCTCACATGAACTGACCAATAAAATGGAGAACACGCTGGCCTCTGTTCTCGGTGCTCTATCTGCTCTCCCTCCATGTCCTGGAAGCACTACACATTATCCAAAATCTTCCATATTCTTTCCTTGATTGAGAGACCCTCCCACACTGAAATTATGGCAACAGTGTTCCAGTCCCCCGCATTTTTGACCACACTGGGTGATGGAAACGCTCAAAATGTTCAATCTCGGCTCAGTGCAACCATCAGCCGTTTAGCCACGCAACACCGCGCTGAAAATCATGAATCATGAATATTCGCTAAAGATGCTTTGACCTGCTTGAGCCTGACAATGCTTTCATGGCTGCCCCCAACATGCCGGACACAACGGGGGTAAATTTTGTGGAAAGAGAAGCAACATGCCCATATTTGCACCTATATAAGACCACATACAATGAGTATTCGAAGCTCTGACCGCCTCCGGCCAACCTCTGAATGCGGCCGCTTCAGAAAGCTTGCTTGCGCAACCTTGCTTGCAGACATTGCCCAAAGATGGTAAAGCGGGATATCTGTGTTTGATCTTTTGCTCTGGAATCAAACATTGGCTGCGCAAGCTGGTCTGGGGCATTTCCCCCCTAAAAGGCATTGATGTGCAAGCGGCGCTTTCTTGGTGAAAGACAACGAGGCAACGAAGCGATGGGGGGACACACAGTATCACCGACGTGTCACAGATGTGCGACAGCTTGGTCACAGACATGTCACGGATGCGTCGCAGATTTGGCAGCGACAATGATGGGTCACAGATATCACAGATGTGTCACAGATACATCCCAGATATGTCACATGCAGAATGTCAAACATCTGTCGCACAGATCTGGCAGATAGGTCACAAATCGGTATGTGACACTTGTGTGGCAGACGTGTCGCGGATGCAATGCAGACATGTCGTAGATGTGTCACAGATGCGTCACAGATATGTCTAATTGTGCCACAAATATATCAAAGATCTGTCCCACATGTGTGAGAAATTGGCCACAAACGATCACAGATGCGTTGCAAATATGTCACAGATGTGTCACAGATATAACACAGACGCGTCAAACAAAATGTCACACGTGTGCGACAATCTAAAGTTACTTTCGGAGTTTCCAAGAGACTTATATAGTAAGAAACGATTGCAAAAGCAAACTTCAAAACTCAGGCTTTATATGGGTTTCAGCAGCCCATCAACACCAGCGGCTCTGCACAAATCAAACCTACCAGATTCTGTGTCTTTTTGCCAGGTGGGGTTGTTCATGGTGTCAATCATCTTGGAGATGGCGACTCGGGGCGGTGTAAAGGAAACTCAGGCGGCTGACGCTACCTTTCGGAAGGTTTTTATCTTAATTTATGCATTTCTTTACCAGTTAAGGAACATATCATGGATATAGGGATACAACAAAGGAATCCAAAATAGAGATGTTTCATCAATCAGCCAATGATAGTATACAATAGTGGCTTCTGAGACCCGCGGAATATTGTTCAGTTTCAATCTTTGTACTTACTCCACTATCCTCCAAACACAACAATCGCAAATTCATCCGCTCAAATCAATTCCAGAATCACTTGGCCTACTTCAGCGATAAATAGCAGTTAAACAGCACCATGTACTTGTAGGGACGAAGCACACAGCTCACAATTCTTCCCCACAACTTTGTGTGGGGTTCTTGTTTTTGATTCTGTATCCCGAGCCTCCTCCTCCGCCTCCTCCGTCCGCCCGCCTCCGCCTAACATCTCTCACATACAATAACTTCACACACACAAACTTAACACAATTTTCTCACATACCATCTGTCACATACATAACTTCACACACAATTTTGTCACATAGCATCTTTCACATACAATAACTTCACACACACAAACTTAACACACAACTTTGTCACATACCATCTGTCACATACATAAACTTAACACACAACTTTGCCACATACCATCTGTCACATACATAACTTCACACACACCTTCGTCACATACCATCTTACACATTGTCACATACCGTCACAACTTTGTCACTACCATCTCTCACATACAATAACGCATTGTCACACACCATCACAACTTTGTCACTAACATCTCTCACATACAATAACTTCACACACACACAAACTTAACACACAACTTTGTCACATACCATCTTCACACACACACAAACTTAACACATAACTTCGTCATTGTAACATACCATCTTACACATTGTCACATACCATCTTTCACACCGGCACTTTGCGTGGCAGGCGTGGCACGGCGTGGCACTTGGTGACATCGACGTGCGTTTCACGTGGCAGGCGTGGCGCAATCTCACATCCACCTTCGTCTTGCGTGGCAGGCGTGGCACTTATGGCACTGGGTGGCGCGCTTGGGCTGGTTTTAGGCGCCCGTGACGCCGCGGCACTTTGCGTGGCAGGCGTGGCACCTGGTGACATCAACGTGCGTTTCACGTGGCAGGCGTGGCGCAATCTCACATCCACCTTCGTTTTGCGTGGCAAGCGTGGCACTTATGGCACTGGGTGGCGCGCTTGAGCTGGTTTTAGGCGCCCGTGACGCCGCGGCACTTTGCGTGGCAGGCGTGGCACTTGGTGACATTGACGTGCGTTTCACGTGGCAGGCGTGGCGCAATCTCACATCCACCTTCGTTTTGCGTGGCAGGCGTGGCACTTATGGCACTGGGTGGCGCGCTTGGGCTGGTTTTAGGCGCCCGTGACGCTGCGGCACTTTGCGTGGCAGGCGTGGCACTTGGTGACATCTACGCGCGTTTCACGTGGCAGGCGTGGCACAATCTCACATCCACCTTCGTTTTGCGTGGCAGGCGTGGCACTTATGGCACTGGGTGGCGCGCTTGGGCTGGTTTTAGGCGCCCGTGACGCCACGGCACTTTGCGTGGCAGGCGTGGCACTTGGTGACATCGACGTGCGTTTCACGTGGCAGGCGTGGCGCAATCTCACATCCACCTTCGTTTTGCGTGGCAGGCGTGGCACTTATGGCACTGGATGGCGCGCTTGGGCTGGTTTTAGGCGCCCGTGACGCTGCGGCACTTTGCGTAGCAGGCGTGGCACTTGGTGACATCTACGTGCGTTTCACGTGGCAGGCGTGGCGCAATCTCACATCCACCTTCGTTTTGCGTGGCAAGCGTGGCACTTATGGCACTGGGTGGCGCGCTTGGGCTGGTTTTAGGCGCCCGTGACGCCGCGGCACTTTGCGTGGCAGGCGTGGCACTTGGTGACATCGACGTGCGTTTCACGTGGCAGGCGTGGCCCAATCTCACATCCACCTCCGTTTTGCGTGGGAGGCGTGGCACTCATGGCCTTGGGTGGCGTGCTTGGGCTGGTTTTAGGCGCCCATGACGCCGCAGCACTTTGCGTGGCAGGCGTGGCACTTGGTGACATCGACGTGCGTTTCACGTGGCAGGCGTGGCGCAATCTCACATCCACTTTCGTTTTGCGTGGCAGGCGTGGCACTTATGGCACTGGGTGGCGCGCTTGGGCTGGTTTTAGGCGCCCGTGTCGCCGCGGCACTTTGCGTGGCAGGCGTGGCGCTTGGTGACATCTACGTCCTACGTGCGTTTCACGTGGCAGGCGTGGCACAATCTCACATCCACCTTCGTTTTGCTTGGCAGGCGTGGCAGGCGTGGCAGGCGTGGCACTCATGGCACTGGGTGGCGCGCTTGGGCTGCGTGACGCCTATGTGACATCCACCTGGCTTTCACAGACCATCTCACACACATCTCTGTCACACATCATCTGTCACATACCATCTTTGTCACACACCATCTGTCTCAATGTGTTGTTACACACCATCTTTCATACAATCTTTGTCAACAATTCTCTCACGCACATCTTTGTCACACACCATCCTTCCGCCTCCTGCCTCACACACATCATCATCTTTCACACACACTTCGTCACATACCATCTTTCACACACAACTTTGTCGCACACCGTCTTTCACATACTAACTTTCACAAGTCGCTTTGGCTCAAGCAAAAGCGAATGGAGCAGAAAACCTTTTGGACATCAAATTCATGTTTCGTTTGCCGGCATCTTTACCTAGCTGCGTCTCCGGCCTGTCTTGGCAGGTTTGCTTTTCTATGCTTTTCTGGCCTGTTTAGTTCAAGCAGAAGCGACTGGAGCAGAAAACTTTTTGGACATCAAATTCATGTTTCATTTGCCAGCATGTTTACGTAGCTACGTCTCTGGCATGTTTTATGTTTATGTTTGCTTTTCTGGCATGTTTAGCTCAAGCAAAAGCGCAGAAAACCCTTTGGACATCAAATTCATGTTTCGTTTGCCGGCATGTTTGCCTAGCTGCGTCTCCGGCCTGTTTTGGCATGTTTGCTTTTCTGTATCCCGAGCCTCCGCCTCCGCCTCCTCCGCCTGTCACTTTGTCAAACTTAACACACAACTTTGTCACATACCATCTTTCACATACAAAAACTTCACACACACACACACTTAACACGCAACTTTGTCACATACCATCTTTCACATACAATAACTCCACACACACTTTGTCACAT